CGAAGAGAGGATGAAGTACCTCGAGTTGAAAGTCGAGGCTGAGAAGAGGGAGAGAAAGGACATTTATGAGCATGCTCGGGTGGCTCGGCTTGATACGGAGGAGTTAAAGGTGGGGCTGCTAAAGGAGGCAGTTCTCTAAGAGTCTCTCTAAAATGAAGCTACCCAGGCTGCTCAAAGGGCCAAGCAACAATGCAATTCTCTCTTTCTCAAGTCTGAGAGCTCAAAGATTGTATCACGTTCATAGAACTAGTGCCTTTGAAAAAGATACAATCGAAAAGTATTGTAATGGTGCTCTTGATAAGGTACAACTCACTCTTGCTTGCAAGAAGGGATTTGATTATCTGATGAAGTGGCTCCCCCATGAGCTTAAAGTCAATCCCGACTGATTCAAGTATTCTTCTTTAGTTCAAGACACTCAAGATAGAAAGTGAATTGGGAATAACAGAAGAAAGGATTTGAGAAGTCTGTCGGTGCATTAGACAAAATCCGCGGGGCCCTTCAGTAAGAGCCAGCGCTCATCCTCCTTAATCTAATCTACAGCGCTAGTGCGCCCTCAGCGTGAGACAGAGGTCCGCTGTTCGGGTCCCGGGTGCTCTGCTCTACTCGGGTTATAGATAGTATGGGTACGACTATATACATATATAGATGAGAGATAATAGATATAATATATATAGATAATAGTATATTATGAGTATAAGAGAGATGACATAGATATATATATCAACGACACAGCATCGACAACAACAAACGACAAAACACCCCCCGCTCGAAACGGAGGAGCACACACACACAGCGAGTACGGCACACGCAGACACACACACACACACCACCACACACACACACACACTTGTCGAGTCATTTTGTAAAATAGTCCCGTAAAATTATTGTGAATGAATGAAAGAGTAATTTTGCATGACTCAAATATCTTCACAAGTTTTTTTGAGTTATTTCTCATTGTGTGCCTTGAGCTCATTAATTTTAAGACATTTTTAGATGAGTTCACAGAGAACTAATCGTAAGTGTTTGTCATGGACGAATTTGTGAGGGCTGAGTTGCAAAGAGTTTTAGCAATACCTTTGTTTTACACTTGAAAGCAAGTACCAAGGTCTTTTGAGTGTCTTGGATGAGTCAGTGAAGACCGATTTGCAAGGACTTAAGTGCCTTGGGTTTACTCTTGAAAACTGATACCAAGGGCTTTGAGTGCCTTGGATGCGTCGGTGAAGACCGAAAACTAATACCAAGGGCTTTGAGTGTCTTGAACGAGTCGGTGAAGATAGATTTGTAGGGACTTTTATGTGCCTTGGGTTCACTCTTGAAAATAGACATCAAGGGCTTTGAGTGTCTTGGACGAGTCGGTGAAGACCAAGTTACAATGACTTTTATGTGCCTTGGGTTTAGTCTTGAAAACTGATACCAATGGCTTTGAGTGTCTTGGACGAGTCGGTGAAGACCAAGTTGCAAGGAATTTTATGTGCCTTAAGTTTACTCTTGAAAACCGACACAAAGAGCTTCACACAGAGTTGTGGAGAAGAATAAGGCATCTTTCATTAATATGGAGGTCTTGCAATTACATTCATTGATAATATTTGTTGAGATGTTCTACATTCCAAGGGTGCTTCAAGACCTTCCCATCTTGACTCTGCAACTAGTAAGTTCCTAGGTGGACTTCTCTTATGACCTTGTAAGGCCCCTCTAAGTTGGTGGCAAGCTTTCTGCAGTTGGTTTTTATTATTGAAGATGGCCTTCTGGACAATCAGATCTCTAATTTTGAACCACTGGGGTGGAATTCGACTATTGTAGTGTCACGCGACGCGCTACTAACTGATAATCAGGGATTAGAGTGCTTGCTTTTAACTTCTTTTGAAAGGGTTGAGTCCACTTCTTAGGCTGATTTGATTAGATTCCTCGTCAAAGTGTTGCAGTTGCATAGTAGGCATGCCGATTTCTACTGGGATGACTACTTCTGCTCCGTATGTTAGTCGGAATGGAGTTTCTCTAGTGGAGTTTTTATGAGTCGACCGAAGCTTTCTATCGACCGACTGATCAGGTTCAAATTTGTGATTTTGGTTCCTTGCACGTGGGTTCGTTGTGCGAGTGTGTAGTGCAAGTTATATGTGGATATTTACGCATATTTTTCGGGGTACACGTACGGAGGTTGAGTACATAAAAATTCATTGTTCTGGATAGACAAATAGTTTGCAATCGTTATGAGTAACGACTATTATAGTTCATTATAATTACGAACGGTTGGATGGGGTTAGTTGGGTCCTGCAATGAGACCGCGGATGGACTACACTCTGAGTGTGTTAGTCAGGACCGTAATGAGACCATGATGGACTTCACTCATTTATGTGCTTTTGGTTCGCATGAGCGTGCGCAAAGGTCGTTGAACCTATTTATCGATCCACATGGTTATGTGCAGAGGTTGATATACCTATTTATCGGTCCGCACGGGGGTGCGATGAGTTGATATACTTATTTATCGGTCCGCATGGGGGTGGGATGAGTTGAAGAATTCCAGAGAAGGACGATTTGATAAATTTGATGATAACCTAAGTGTAGGTGATTATTGATATTCACTTGGTATGATCTATTATGAAGGTATTTTACAATTTAGTTACATGGGATAGTGTATCGATATCTGTTTTGCCTACTAAGGATAGTATAAGGAGTTGAATGATATTCTCGGAGATGGTTGATGTGGTATTTCCCGTATTGCTTTCTTTTATTATTTCTTAGTTGGAATTTATACTTAGAAATTTACGATTTGAGATACATGGTATATACGTGAGGGTTTCCTTATTTGGATTATTTCGCTCGACGTACCAGTCTTGTGTTGTAAATTTCTAAACATAATTCCATATAGTATAGGGTAAAATGATCTAGGTAGACTATGCACTTATAGGTAGAGCCTCCATCATACCTAGTAGCCCTTCTCCTGGGGGCGGATAGAGATGATCTTGCTAGCGCTCTAACGCTGTACTTCATAAGTTGACGGACTTTCAGAATAGTCACCATTATTTATTTATAGTAGTTTCTGCTTTACAGATGTTTAGTTTTTATTCTAGTTGATTATTAAACTTGAATTTTATTTTGAGAGTTGAGAACCTATGTATATTTTTTAGTTGACTCTTGTAATTGAGATTTTTGGATCATTTGTATCAGATTGTTGGACATATTTTTTTATATCTGTTGAGACAGGATTATTTGGAAATTTATCATTTATGTATATGTTATATTTCCTATCTTTATTTCTTTTATATTTACTTGTACCTGTATTGTCTTATTTGATTCCATTAGAGAGATATTTCTATGATGGTGAAACATGTCGTTGCATAGTATGGGTGCATGACAAGTTTGACATCCTTGGATTCACCTCGGACTGCAGCCTTGTGTGAAATCAGTGGCGTCACAGTTGAGTCCACTTCTTAGGCCGATTTGATTGGCTTCTTCGTCAAAGTGTTGCAGTCGCATAGTAGGCATGCCGACTTCTGCTGGGATGACTACTTTTGCTCTGTATGTTAGTCGGAATGGAGTTTCTCTTGTGGAGTTTTTGTAAGTCATTCTATATGACCACAAGATACCAGGGAGTTCGTCGACCCAGTCCCCACTACTGTGTCTGCCCTCTTCTTTAGTGCTTGCACTAGGCACTTGTTTGCCGCCTTTGCTAGGCCATTACACTTAGGGTGCGCTGGGGTTGTTGTGGATTGGCAACGGAGGGGTTTTGATGTTGCGACGTTTGAGGGGTGCTTTCCCTAGCCCGTCTTCCTCTTCCTATCGTCGTAGCAACACCTCAGGGGGAGGGATGATAGATGATGGAGGTTGGAAAGGAAGAAGAACAGAGCGAAGGAGGTCCTTCGTGAATGAGGCAAACTGTTGTTAGAGAGATTGAGGTATCCTTTAGGAGGATTCATCGAACTAAGCTTGAGTGACACAGCCGAAGCTAGAAGATTCTCCAGGAGTGTGTGAGTTTAGGGATTGGTGGGCAATTAGGCACGACTATTTCTTTCAAGGGGAGAATAAGTGGGCCCCATGTTGGTTGCCAAACTTTTTATGTTAAAAACTTAATTGTATATGGATGGAGAGGAGGTATGGGTGGATGGATATTTACAAGAGTTTAGGGTCTCTTATTCTTCCCTGATGACTATTAATCAAGAGGAAGTTGATTGTTGCACAAGGAACACTCGTTAGAGGGCCGAAGATGATCTCTTAGGTATGCCCTCCGACGTTTAAGTCAGTGATAAATTAAGCAAAATGGTAGAATGTAGAATCTAGTTTTAAATAGTTATCCAGCGTGCCTTGGTATAACGGGGTTGTCCACTATTTATGAAGAATTTGTCGGGGGCACATTGGTAATTTGACCTAATCGGTGCAGTCAGTCGTTCATACTTCTCAGCGGTCGGTTGCGTGAGTCATCACTGCATTTAATGTGAGTTTCAGAATGGCTAAAGTGCTCGAGTCGTCCGAGTAGTCATTATGACTTCGGCTCAAGAAGTCATAATGAGTCTGACCATGCATTAAATGCGACGGGGTTTGGAAGGCGAAGTATGATGCTGGTGAAGCTGATAGGTTATCTCGGCGTGAAGACATTTTTCATCTCGGACTTAAGATGCTAGAGAGATCGGCGGTACTCACACCCAGATCGAGGTTTTAGATTATGGGACTAGGCCAGCTAATTATGACAAATGGCCAGCTCTAAAGAGCTATCTAGGCTTGATAATTCTCAAGATATAGCAATTAAATTTCCCCTCACCTTTCTTTTCCGCCAACTCTCTAGAGCTACCTAGACTTGATAATTCTCAGGGTATAACAATTACATTTCATCCCCCCTTTCTCTTCTTCCCTTTGCCTTGTTTTCCCTTCTTTTCTTCCTCTTTCGCTCCGTTAGTAAACTCCCGATCGTAGCAATAGGGTATTTAAATGCAATTAAGCCAGGCCCGGGGAATTTGTCCAACAAAATTTAAGAACACAGAAGAGCGTACTCTTCAATATTACTATTATAATAATAATTTGCGAGGGCATTGCTTGAGGTTTTAAATGCGGCGATCAAGCCAGACGCTAACTTTTCACACGTGGCGCCTCGAGCTTCCGCCACCTGGCCATTAACCGCCACCGCGAGAACCTCCTCCAGCCTTCACTACCTTTTCTAAAGTTTAAAAGCCCCCAGCCTCAACCAAGGCCTATAAAAGGCCCCGCTCCGGTCCCTAACCCAACCATCGGTTTCTTTTCAACCCGTCGCAAATTTTACGAAGACGATGTGAATTGGATGTGACGTGAAAAGATGAGTGGGGGCCACATTTGTTCAGCGAAAATGATGTTTCCGCGTGAAAGGCCAAGTGTGGGAGGCTAAGGCGGTTTCAAGCGTGTGGGGTCCACACAAATGTCTTGGTGAACGAAAATATGGCCAGGCCCACCCGATTCTGCTGTTCATATATATAATAATGATTCTTCCTAGGGTTGTGTGCGGAAGGAGGGTAGCAGTTTTGTTTGGGCGGCAGAGGCTGGAAGAAAAAAAGGGCAGCGTGCAAAAGTGAATTTTTGGGCGGCGTGTTATTCCGGTGACTGTTTCTTTTGAGAGAAAAACTGAGAGATATTTGTGTGTGAGAGAGAGATTATTTGAGGGTTTAAATTGTGAGAGTTGTAAACCAAGTTGTATTCTCTCCTCTCTAATAGTAGATCTCCCCCTCCTTGCCCCGTGGACGTAGGCAGTTTGCCGAACCACGTAAAAATTGATTGTTTGAGTTTGTGAGAATTTACAATTTGTTAATCACTAATGCAGGTAGCATTTGTTGCAATAGGAGCAACAATGGTAGGAAGCATCACGTTCACTAGAGAAAAGGGTGACTACATCCATAAAGGAGACGAGGTTCCTCTGTACTTCTACACTAATTTTCCGTACTATCTAACCTTTAGTTTTGGATGTTAGCTAATGGCCAACCTTTTCCTTTTTCATCAGTTTGGATATTTCTCGTTTGGGGGGAGCACTGTTATATGCGTATTTGAAAAGGTTTGTCTTTTTTCCTTTACCTATGCTCAAAACAAAAAGCTTCTTACGCCTTTTTATTGATGCTTTTCGTAGATAAGATCTGATTTTCCAGGAAAACTTCACTCACATATTACTAAACGTAAGGGTCATAGATCCATATAACTGGACAGTCAGAATTTAAGAGTTCAATATATTAAACAATGGATGCAGTTTCATGTGTAGAAACCCCAAAATAATACTTAAATGTCATACTTGTGAATGGAAATTTCATCTGACGTGTGTGGATACATACTGAAAGTGAGAATACCATAGGCAGCGTGCTTCTCATGTGATCATTCTTACAATGTTTTTCCTAAAAGCCGAAAAAACCACAAATTGCAGCCAACAGGAAATCCACGTTTTGGAAACATGTATTATAGAAGACTGGATTAGTTTTATACCATTGACTATGAAGGGGAAAAAACCCAAATTTCTTTTTTAACCAGAAAATCATTTTCCTTTTTATTAGAACTTAGATCCTAAATTCGTATCCATATTAGCGTATTGCTAATGAAAGCCTAAATGGATGTTGGGTAAAAATAGTTTTCATTTAACAGCATTAAACTGACAGGGAAGTTGCATAATTGGTTGTATATTAAGCATGAGAATCCACTTTGTTATTTATGTGGAAGACTCGACTTAATCTGATCATAGGATCAAAATGGATCACAAGGTCAACATCTGAATTTTGTTTCCATACACCGATTATATGATAACGCTAAACTTTGATCCCATCTCTAGATTGTGAAAATATTTGTAGGATCCATATAATAAGTCTAAATCCTAAAAGCACTAGTAGTTAAACGCTACATATAACTTAAAATGGAACTTGGATATTTAGGTGACACACTTATGATAGAAATGGTCATTGATTCGAGGTTCACCTATAAGGTGGATTAGCTTTCTTCAGTCTAGGTTATAGGTGAATTATAATTTTAATTAAAATTTTATTTTTAAAATCCTTTTGGATACTGTTGGCATTGACTCAAAGGTATTTGGTCACCTTTTGCAGGATGCAATTCAAATAGACGAGGATCTTATTTCAAACAGTGAAAGATCCCTCGAAACGCTAGTTTATGTAGGTATGAGATTGGGTGTAGTTTCGAAGAGGGCACAGGCCGTGAAAGATATATCAAGATTGGAGCAGTGCAAGCTGGAAGAATGACGCTGTGTACTGATTGGATGGATTTTTTTTTTTTTTTTGTATAAAATAAAACTTCATAAACATTTTTCTGCAATTCCCTCTGCAGAGTAGGGGGGTGCATATTAATGTATATTGTACCGATACAGCTAAGGAGGACGATGGGAATGCGATTATTTTAACCGTAGGTTTATGTATGAAGCTAATCTACTGTCGTAATTGTTAATAGAATTGCATAAACCGTTACTTAGTCCTGTTTGTTTTTGCTTTTCAATCTGTATTTTTTGTCACCATTTCGTTCTCACTTTGCATTTCTTACGCCGAGGAAATGTTCTCGTATATTCCACAGTGTAAAAATGTAAGCAGCATCCTCATGTTGGATCCTTCTAAATTTGCTTTTTATTTGGGGGGAGGGAAAATTGATTTTTTTTAAAGGCATTTCATAGTGTTCTTGACATTTATAAATGAACACTGTCAGAAGAATATTAATTAGAGAGGCGCTACAATCACACCTTAAACCACACTTCTCTCTCGTTACAGTGCACTGGGGCTCATATGATTTTTTTTTTTTTAATTCTCATGTTGGTCCTAGCTGTAGCGGAGAGGAGTGTGGTTGAGGGTGTGGTTAAAGGTTGTGCTTCTAGCATTTTCCTATTAATTAGATACCAAATCACTTTTTTGATGGTGATTGAGATTGATCAAGGTGACAAAGAGATAGTCATCAATCAAGAAAGAGGTACAGGTTAGCTACTTGAGTCATCTCAAGACCCCTCACAGTTGTCTTTCTTGACTTCTATAGAACGTCTTAGCAAGAAAAAAATAATATTTTATTTTTTTCAATCACAATTACTCATTTCTTTTTCAACGTCTATGACTCGTCTAAATATATATTAATACGGGAGTCTTTTTGAATTGTGATCCAAAAAATTAAGTACAAACTTCGCATTATGATCGAATCATAATCATCTATTAAATAATAAACAATCATAATTAAAAATGATTGATTGCATATAAACACCTGTAGTATGATGTTATATATCGCACTTGTTGCCCGTATAGGTTCAGTTTGGTGTGAAATTTTTTTTATTCTTTTATCCTAATTATTATTAAATTATTTTTACTTTCAGGGGTCAAAGAGTCAAAAATTTTCACTCACGGGTCTATCCGCCAAAACAAAACTACACAGATAGCAAGTTCAAAAACATCTTGCGATATGGTGTCCGTGTCCAATTAAACCTTAGGAAATAATTTGATATGTTTGGTCGATTATGCAATAATTGTGAATTGGATGTGACGTGAAAAGATGAGTGGGGGCCACATTTGTTCAGCGAAAATGATGTTTCCGCGTGAAAGGCCAAGTGTGGGAGGCTAAGGCGGTTTCAAGCGTGTGGGGTCCACACAAATGTCTTGGTGAACGAAAATATGGCCAGGCCCACCCGATTCTGCTGTTCATATATATAATAATGATTCTTCCTAGGGTTGTGTGCGGAAGGAGGGTAGCAGTTTTGTTTGGGCGGCAGAGGCTGGAAGAAAAAAAGGGCAGCGTGCAAAAGTGAATTTTTGGGCGGCGTGTTATTCCGGTGACTGTTTCTTTTGAGAGAAAAACTGAGAGATATTTGTGTGTGAGAGAGAGATTATTTGAGGGTTTAAATTGTGAGAGTTGTAAACCAAGTTGTATTCTCTCCTCTCTAATAGTAGATCTCCCCCTCCTTGCCCCGTGGACGTAGGCAGTTTGCCGAACCACGTAAAAATTGATTGTTTGAGTTTGTGGCCATTGTAATAGTTTTAGGATCCCTCGACGCGCAGTCCTAGAGCTGACGAGAGGAAGAGCAAATATCCCACTTTGATGGGATATTAGGCTTTCAGATTCTTGTTCCCTTTGAGAAACAAGAATTCTTATCGATCTTTCTCTCTTATTGTGCACCAGAAACTCTGCCGAAATTTCCGCTGCGCACAACAGACGACCCTACAAAAAAAAACCCGGCCATGTATTTCCGACCACCGTATAAGGGCGGCGATGTGGAAACCGGCGGTGCCCGGCCGCTGTATCCATCGATGGTGGAAAGCCCAGAGCTGAGATGGGCTTTCATACGGAAAATCTACGGTATTCTCACCGCCCAGATGCTGGTCACCGTCGGCATGGCTTCAGTTGTGGTTTTCGTGGACCCGGTCCATGATTTCTTTGCTACGACCACTGCTGGCCTCGGGGTTTATGTTCTTCTCATCATCGTCCCCTTCATTGGTAAGTTTTCTTTTTTTTTTTATTTTTCCGTGTCCTTGTTTAGTAATTTCATTTTTGTTTGCTGACCCCTTTGCCCCTTTTTTTTTTTTTTTTTGGCATGTGTAGTTTTGTGTCCTCTGTATTACTATTATCAGTCTTATCCGGTGAATTATTTGCTGCTCGGGGTTTTCACTTTGTGCATTGGATTTGCAGTTGGATTAACGTGTGCGTTTACTAAAGGTAAGGAGATCTTAATTTCATCTTCTATTTTCAATTAAAAAAAGCATATGTTTTCTTTCCCGACTACGGCCATGCTAATCTCCTCTGTATCGTTCCAATTTTGTCGAATGTCGTTTTGTTCGTGTTTTTAGGCATATGGCCTGCTAAAATCTGGATTATGTTGATTACTAGCATCGAAATAACTCTGATGGCAAGCAATTTTTTCTATTAGTTTCCCCTAAGGGGCTATTTGGTTCGTTTCCTAGATATAGGGAAATGCGTTTCCATGTACAAAAACACAACTTTTGAGTTTTCCAAACTTTTCCAAGAAATAGATTGTTTCGTTTTGGTTCGCACAAAAAGAATGGTGGGAAACCAATGTATTTATTTTTCTTGTGTTTGGTTCGCATGAAAAAAAAAGGGAAAACTTTTGTTTATATGGCAAAAAGCTGACGTGACTGCAGTTTTCGTCGATTTCACGAGTTTGAGGAAAGAATTGAGGGAGATAAAGAAATCTGATGTGGCGGCGATTTTCACCGGGTTTCCCTTCTTCAACCCTAGCGAACCAAAGATGGGAAAAAAACCGGCGGAAAGCTTATATCCTATGTGGCAAGTAATCCTAAATGAGGGTGTTCTGATAAATCATTTTGAGTAGGGTTTAAGGTCCTTGATGTCCCATAAAAGATTCATCCGTGCATTAAGTAGGAGGTAGAGTGGCTATTAAGTAACACGGATGCAAGTAATCCTAAATGGATGGTGTAGCTTGCACTCTAGGACAACCAATGATGATTGTGAAATTGCTTGTGTGTGGTCTACAGCACTTTATCAACATATGCTGTCCTTCAAAGTTCCAAACATTTCTTTTCATCGAAGATGTCCAAAGTTTTATTTTTTTCTTTTCTTTTCTTTTCTTTTTTGAGTAACCAGAACAAGATTCTCATGTGATGAATTATGAGTAACAATGGCCAGATGCTCAGAGAATTCATTAACTAGAAAAATATACACACAATCTAAATGTTGCCTAAAGTTAAATCTCCATTTAAACACGTGAACTCCTCATACCTTGAGTTTTGATTTAATTTGATTATCACTGATTGTTTCAGGCTAAGTAACTCAGGTTAACTGGGCCTGATTACTTCCAACAAAAGCTACCTTGTTTAGCTAGGCATCGCTCAGTGACTCTGTATCTAATTTTATATTATACCTTGGTGGATAAATTTGCTCAGAGTAGTAGCCTTGGTTCATCTCTAAGAACTATCTTCCTTCATAATTCTTGTTATTTTTTTAAAAGCTCTATTAGACTTCATCCTTGCAAAGAATATGTCTAGATTACTGCATTATTCACTGCAAGTCATATGATTACTAAGCGAGGCCCTCTGCTGCTCGTAAACAGGGAAGGTGATTCTGGAGTCAGCAATCCTCACAAGTGTTGTAGTGATTAGCTTAACTCTATACACATTCTGGGCAGCGAGGCGGGGCCATGATTTTAGCTTTCTTGGCCCTTTTCTTTTCGCCGGTCTAATGATCATATTAGTTTTTGCCTTGATTCAGGTATTCTTTATGCCTTTTCTTAATGGATTTTTGGTTCACTGCAACTGTAACACTAATACAGATAGCAATTGCCAAAGTGATTGTTGTTGCGTACAATTATAGTTGCAGTTGTTTGGTTCAGTTTTAAATTCTTGCAAGTTGTAACTTTTTTGCGTAGGTGCTTTGTGTCATCATTTTTCTGTAGATTTCTGTTGGTGTCAATGTAACTATTACATCAAAACTCCGCACAAGTCATCACTAGTCCTTTATATAAGTTTAGATAGAAATGCATCTAAAATTGCGGTGAAATTGATAGATACAACAGATCAAAATGTTCTAGTTGCGTGTAATTAAAGTTACACCTTTTGCAGCTATTGTGATCCAAACAACTTGTGAGCTTCTCCTTTTGTCTCATTTCTATCAAGGTTCTTGAATCTGACTTTATGTTCCATTTGCATTTCAGCTGTTTTTTCCAATGGGCAGGCTCGCCTACACGATATATGGAGGTGTTGCTGCGCTCTTATTTTGTGGATACATTATTTATGATACCGATAACTTGATTAAGAGGTATTCTTATGATGAGTATATATGGGCTGCTGTTGCTCTGTATCTTGATATTATTAACCTCTTCCTTTCTTTGCTTACTCTCTTTAAAGGTATTGAGAGTTAGGATAAATGAATGTAATTATGTATCAGATGATTGTTGTACATAGATGAACGCTGCAAGTAGAAATGTAGGTGTTTCAGCGGGTAATATCTTTCTTTTAAGTACACAAAGCCTTAATTATTGAGTTCCAAGTTTTGGTTTTTCCCCCTTACATATTACTCCTTGGATCTTCTCCATTATTAAGAAGTACCGGAGGAAATGCTAAATACAGTTGATTTTTCGCCTTAATTGCATATACGCTTTTCCTATCGTATAGTTCTATTCATCTATCACACATAAATTTTTAATTAGAAATTTGACCTTCTTATCTCAAAATGAAGTTACCTTTGTGTTATGTATACATACCACTTTGTGTTACATATACATACCAATTGTAATGTAGATATTAATGTGTTACTTAGGAATATCTCTATCTACCGATACAATCAATCAAACTGCCTAATTGACCGAAAATCAAAGTGAGAAGAGACTTTACTCTAACATCTAAATCTAGTATTAAAAAGCATATCTGATGCATAACAATAAATAATGGTGATTACCCTCAATATGCACAGTATGTGTCTTACATCAATCTGTATGTGGTAAGAGAAATGATCAATGTGAGCAAACATATCGAATTCTTCAGGGCAGAGTAATCTGATAAGAAATTAAGAAGAAAATCAATGATTTACATCAACCAAAGCATTAAAAGATGGAAATGAGAGCGAAGTAGATCAATTTCTATTCTCACCTCCAGCAGAAAATTGGTCATCAGATGCATTTGGTCGAGGAGACATACTAGTTGAGTTGAATAAATTGATCCCAAGGTTAGTGCAATCTGCACCTAAAGAACCTGTACGTGAACCGAAAGCAATGAATTGAACTGTGATCTTATGGTTCCCGATTCTTGGTAAACTACACAAATTTGTTCACGGTAAAAATGTGCAAGAGCTCAGGTAGCGACGAATGTTAGTCCTATATCTGACCAGTAAAATTCATAAAATTACTATGAACCATTGTTGATTTTTCCACTAACAAAATGCTATCATAAGATTGTTATGTATTCTTTGAGAAAATATATAATAGTTGTCAAACAATTCGAAGGTTGGCTGCAGTTCTTACTAAAAATAGTTTTGTGCAAAACCCCTCTTATAACCTATCCATGGCATTTATACCACGAGTGATATGGAAAAAGTCCGTACAGTCTTTATAACAAGGGAAGGCAGAAGCATTGAAGATATTGCTGTAGCCTTCATTGCACACACATTTGTGCTCATAGGTTGAAATCTGAGAGCACTTGCCTCCACCGCAGTAAGCCCACTTGCAAGCTTTGTGAAGAAAAACACAGAACAAAAGAAAAAGTAGAATACAAATTTAGAGACTTCTTGAACTGTATGAATTCCTACTCAGTTTTCGAATTTGACAAAGATGACACTTACGATCGAAGAGGGAGAGATTGGTAGGGGATGCTGCCGGTGCAGGTGACACTGAAACGTTGGTGCAAGAGTAGTTGATGCTGCCTGAAATTGGTAGCAGAGTTGCAGTTTGAAATAGTTCATGATATCTTCTGCAGGTTTAATAGTTCGTGATAGTTTTCTCAAATAAAAACTCATGGTAGCTTGCTGCAAAATCCTCCCAAGTTTATGGTAGTTTTGTGAAATTTTCCCTTGAAATAGTTGTGAAACTTTTGTTTTCATTTAGTTTTCAATGTATCATACCTGAGATGAGGTAGTATTGACCTCTACAAATTCACACGCGTCCTTTAAAAAAATTCTTTACATGAGCATATATTTAAAAGGAAAGAGAGCTGAAATTAAGTAAAGAGCTTGTTCCTTTACCATGTTTGAATCAACAATGAATTTAAGGTACCAGAGGGAATTTGAATCCACTCATCTGTGTCTTTAGATGATTGAAGGTGCAATCATAATAACTGCAGCAATAATTTTTTTTCGAAAAGAATAATGGCAGCGATAAATATACTAAATCTTGTACTAGATTTGCGTAAGGACCCTGCATTTCTATTCCTATAGTTTTTTTTTCTAACAGTACTTGCAATTATATATACTGGTCCCAACTTTATATTAAATCTATTGCAGCTTCAAATTATTTCTCGCGTCATACTTTTCATATAAAACCGAGCAAGGGCGGATCTATATACAGTCCAGGTGGGGCCATGGCCCCCCCAAAATTTTGGGGGAAAAAAGGGTGGTTTCTATAAAACCTCCTCCCTTAAAAATTAAAATATATATATTCATTCTATTTTTTTCTTCCTCTTTTGAAGTATTTTGGAGATATTGACGTTGGCTACTCTACTCGTTTTGTTTAGGTTGTGATGTATCTCTTGTAAATAAAATTGCATTAAGAAAATTTTTCGTCTATCTTTTATACCCCCCAAGAACTGAAATCCTGGATCCGCCCCTGAAACCGAGGTTGGTCCGTCTTTCCAGTAGGAGTTATGTATATTCAAAATGTCACTTATTGTCTAAGTGTGTTTGATGATTTGGACTATAGAGATCTGGCCGTGTGCTACATCGGCAATGCAGCAGCTAACTATATCCACAGAGAGGGACACACCAGTTTACGTTTACCCATATGTCAGTTTCAAAAGTAACTTTGAAAAAAATATATTAAGGATAAACATTTTAACTTTAAGGTTTTTCTGATAAAATCTCAAAGTTAAAAGAGGGTTTTCTAATAAAACCTAAAAGTTTGATGGGTTTTGTGATAAACCCTATACGAAGGGGGTTTTCTGATATTTTGATAAGGGGGGGAGTTTTTCCCTAATCGTCCAAAACAAGGGGGTTTTTCTGCTATTTACCTAAAAACTAAGAAAATGACGTCTAGAAAAAAAAATCATAGGAGAGAATACTAACAATTGGGGATGACGCAAGGAAGGAACCTGAAGTGATCCCCTATGTGGAACTGGCTCCAACCAGGATTGCATTGGCAAGCAAACCCAAAGGTTCGGCTTAATGACACGTGGCACTCCCCCCTGCCACACTCCACGGCATCACATAACCCATCTAAAAACACCACAACAGATTCAACAAATAAACACGCAGCAATTAAGACGAAAAAAGATATCGAAAAAAAAAACAATAATCAAGAACAGAAGTTGGATGATCTAGAGATGAGAATGTTACTGAGTACAGGAGAGAGCAGAGGGCTCAGAGGGGAGAGCAAGTCTCCAACTGCTTCCTGTGGATTCAAAGGGGAGGCTGCCACCAAAATGAATACAAACATAAGTTTATTCCAAGCCATCTTCATATTTATATATTTTTTTTTCTCTGTGTCTCTACGAGAGGATGGAGAGGGAGAAAAGAGGATGAAGAATGAAGGGAGATGAAGGGGATTAGGTGGGATTATTTAATGCAGCTTGAAATGTTGGGAACTGTTTTATTAATGAGCTCATGAGGGTAATTAATGGACTAGTTATGACCACCTTGGGTGATCATCAAGATGTTGGGATTTTCTAATAAATTTATTGGGTGAAAACAAAATATGGACCAAAACCAAAAAGAGATTACAAATATGGACCAACTTCTCATCAATTTTGTTAAAGCATTTAGAAAGGGTGATGGTTAGTTAGCAAAACCCTTTTACTTAACCAAACTCTATTTGCTATATAAGTGCTATTATTAATTGTTATTATAGCGTTTAGAACGAGGGATTATGGACTACATGACATTCGCAACCTTTCACATTTATTTTATATTGTAAAGATCACAAAAGTCACTTGAGTCAGTAAAATGGAGCAACTTAAAGCCCCGACCAGGCCAAGCCGGGCTTAATCTCATCAGACCCATTTAGATATGGGCCGGGATCTGTAAACTTCAAAAACCAACTAAACAGCCCAACACTGCTATGAGTAACATTATATATATATAGAGAGAGAGAGTAAAACTCCTATCCACTTAAGTGGATAGGAGGACTTGTCCACCAAACTTTTTATCCACTCATCTTATCTCAAGATTTGTGCCATCAAAATATATTGTGGCTGTAGGGGTTTGAACCCCTAACCTATTTCCCAAACTCCCAAACTTTACTACTAGGCCAAGTGACCCAAAATATTCATTCCACTCAAAATATATATACATATATATCCCAACGTGCAACCTTAACAACTGACCCGTAACCTTAACAACTGACCCGTAACCTTAACAACCGACCTATAACCTTAATAACCGACCCGTAACCTTAACAACCGACCTGTAACCTTAACAACAAACCCGTAACCTTAACAATTAAACCTGTAACCTTCACAACCAACCTGTAACATTAACAACCGACCCGTAACCTTAACAACCGACCTATAACCTTAATAATCGACCCGTAACCTTAACAACCGACATGTAACCTTAACAATAAACCCGTAACCTTAACAATTAAACCTGTAACCTTAACAACCGACCCGTAACCTTAACAACCGACCCGTAACCTTAACAACAAACCCGTAAAAACCTGTAACCTTAACAACCGACCCGTAACCTTAACAACCGACCCGTAACCTTAACAACAAACCCGTAACCTTAACAATTAAACCCCGTAACCTTAACAACCGACCCGTAACCTTAACAACAAACCCGTAACCTTAACAATTAAACCCGTAACCTTCACAACCAACTCGTAACCTTACAAACAAAAACAATTAGTTTCCTTATCAACAACGAAAATAATAAAAAAATAAAAATAATAAAATAACAATCCCCTTCAATCATTTCAACATCATCACAGTAACATCATGATAGAGAGAGAGAGAGAGTTTTGAGAGGTTTTATGGTCACGGAGCGAGATAATCGCGGTGCTTTTTTTTCAAAAACACCCACGCAGCTCATATTTTGTTTCCACGACGTTCCAAAGTTCGTAGCCAATTGATTGAAGGTAAATCTTCATTCGGCACTTCCAATAGTTGTAGTTCGTGCCATCGAATAGAGGTGGTCGCTGTGTGGAATATCCCTCTTTGAATTGTGATGTATTTGTTGATGCCATCTTTCACCTTGCTCTGATACCAAATGTAGGATCTGAAATAGATACACTAGAACACTAGAAGAGGGGTGAATAGTGTTCTTTTAAAATATATGCAAAGTAGATTATAAATTGCAAAGAAAAATGGCAATCTCAGAAATTCACAATCACAAACACAAAGTTTTATACTGGTTCCACCAACCCGGTGTACATCCAGTCCCCAAGCAAATCCCGCTTGAGATTTCCACTATGATTTTGAAACCTTACAAAATCAAAAGCAAACCTGACCAATTTGCAAGACCATGCAAATTGCAACACCAATTGACAAGACCATGCCAATTGCCACCCAATCTCTAAACCAAGAGATCAACCCTCTCAAACCCGAGAGAAATCCTTTTTGAAGCAAGAACACAATTGATCCTATAAGCCTTGAATGTGTAGTGAAGTGCTGCAGTGGCTTAGGATTCTTTTAACTCTCTGAATATTGCCTATACAATCTCTAAGAATGATTGAAACCAAGGCAATATCAGAAACTCTCTTTTTCTAAACACTTAGCATGAAAATCTGGAAAATTAGAGAGTGAATATGCACAAAATGTTTGATCTTGTAAGTGCAAAACTTAGTGCTTTTTTTTTGATGTTTAAACCTATTTATAGCCTCTGAAATGACATAATTTTAAACCCAATTAACGTCCACAAAACGGCTATAAACAGTCACTTATTTTAAACCTGAAATCTGGAAAAACTGCATCTGTAGTCGACTACAAGTCATAGTAGTCGACTACACTGAGTCTAAACAGACTCTGTGAAGTCAGAAAATTGCCAGTAGTCAACTACAAGGCATAGTAGTCGACTACACTGTAAACTCAGATTCTGGAATTTTTTCTATTTAGTATTTTGACTATAACTTTCTCATCCGATATCGGAATGAGGTGATTTAAGATTTGTTGGAAATCTCTTGAAGAGACCTACAACTTTGGTCTTTTGAGTTTTTCCAGATTCTAATTTCTAAGGGGTGTAAATGAAATGTTTTAAGACTCACTTAATATCTATAAACTCTAATGGCTAACATAGGGGATTTCTATTGTTAACCAACACACTAAGCATGTGTTAGTGTGTTCTAACACTATGTGTGTGCATGTGTATGAGTGATCAAGGCTTGTACAAATTTCTAAGCAAAGAAAATATAAAATTACATTTTGACAATAAAGTATATCTTCTTCTTTGCTTCATTTTGCCTTGAACTCATCTATGTCTTGAGTATCAACTCTCTCTCTCTCTCTCTCTCTCTCTCTCTCTCTCTCTCTCTCTCTCTCTCTCTCACCCCGTGACCCCAAAAACTCTCTCTCTCTCTCAGGACCCCAGATCCCCAAAATTCCAGCTCCAACTCCAGCCCCTCCAAGACCCTCCCTCTCTCTCGGTGCTCGCTCGTGACGCCAACCCCACCGCCGACCAAGTCCCTCTCCGCCACGGCACGGCCGACGAACTCGTGGCCCAGTTGTATTCTCTCCCCCCTCCAAGACCATCCCTCTCTCTCTCAGTGCTGCAGGTAATAACTCGAACCCTCTCTCTCGATCTCTCTAGATCCCTCTCCTCGCTGTTATTAGGTGATCAAAAACTTCATTGGGTTTTTGGTTTTTTGTGGGTTCTGGACCCTTTTGATATTTTGTTTGGATAACAAAGGGATGAGAAGATATGTATGTTGGACATGATGCGTGCTTTGATGTGTTCTTTATATAGTGTTCAGGAACATTGCAAGCCATGCTCATCCCTATTCTAGGCCATGAGGATTCTAATGCCTTACATCTCAGTCTGCCAATTGAAAAAACTCTAAATTTAAATAAGTAATCAAGAAGCATATCATTATTAGCACTTAGGTAAAATCATCGTGAAGAAATTTCACACTATTTGAGAATTTGGTGGCGTCGCCATGGCCGAGCACTGGTTCTGCAGAGTCGATTCGATGCGACTCGGTCGCCAACGGCTATTTCAGTCTTCCAAGTTTTGACGTGTTTCGTCATTATGCGTATTTCGTCGTTTCATTGACTTGTACGCTTCACCGATTTATTTCACATGTTTCGGTAACATGGAGGTGGCCGATGAGTGTGCAGGCCACTTGGTTCGTCGTTTTAGTGGCCGATGAGCGTACGGGCCACTTGGCGATGGCCGGCAAGTAGGAGTGGCCGGTGACACACGGCTCGCATTGGTTCGCCGTTAAGTGGCTTGCTGAGTATCGTTTTAGTGGCCGATGAGTACACGGGCCACTTGGAGGTGGCCGGTGAGCACGTAGGCCACTTGGAGATGGCTATTCTGGTAGCTTTTTGCTACGTCATCAACGGTTCGTCGGTTTTCTTCATGCGCTTATCGGCGTCGGATAATCTTCCTTGACTCGAATAATGATGTTCATCGTCTTCTCTCTATCTCGAACTATGTTCGGGGACCTATAGGTAATTTTTGACGCCTACACATATCATTATTAGTACTTAGGTAAAATCATCATGAAGAAATTTCACACTATTTGAGAATTTCTTATCGATACAGTAACTCTCTGTGCTTTCCAACTTGTTGTTTTCTTCGTGATAACCAATCATTTTCTAGTAATCTTTACTTTGTGCATCGGGAAAAAACATGAGAGAGAAAAAATGTCTTGATGTGTGAATGAAACAAAATAAGGTAAAGAAAGAAAGGAAAAGCATCTCCAAGCAGAAAAGCATGCAATCAAATTTTTCCAGAATTGATCGTTAACATAAACTGATTAGCAATCTCTGGTTGCTAAATATTTGAAGGTGTTTTTTAATACATTTCAAAACCCATCTGAGAGTGTATTTACAAGATCGATAAATTTGTGGAGTACTCGTTACAATGTGGATAGCTAATATGTATTAGTGGTGATACAATTGATTTTGCATGCATAAATGTCTTTTTCCTTTGATAATTTCTTTTTAAGGCACAAAATTTCAGGTGATATAATGGCAAGAAAGAGTAATAAGAGAGGTCAACATTGTGGCATTTTTTATAATTAGGAGGAATGCAAATCTCAAGTTGGTAGATTCCCAAATGCCTCCTACAAAGGGTATGCAATGTATGAAGAGGCTTTGATTGGATGGGAGAAGCACACCATCGCGCGTGATTCAGCATCCAGCTCAAGGCATGTGTAGACACCTGTTTGTGTTCAAGAACAAATGTTTCCGAAAGGGCATAATCTGGATGAGTACAAGGGAAAACTTGGGGAAACTGTTATTTCCTCCATCTATGCTTTTGTATTAGGTTCAGTGTTTACAATATTAGTGTTTCTAGTATGTATCGTTGTAGTATTTGTTGGTTTCTCCATTGCAAAAAACACGTGATGTGATTTGTAGATGATTCTTCAATGTGAGGATAAGCTTGCATAACTTGGGT